ACTCTAGCCATTGACTAAAAGTTACAAAAGAGGTAATCCTCCTCCTCTACTTCCCTCCCTTTCCTCCACTGTTTTGTCTGAATTCACCTGAGGGGCCAGATCCAGTAGGCAGCCTTGGAGCCTGCCTATCCAATCCCTTGAGTTCGGTGGCTGAACGCCCATCTTCCCCTGGTTTGTGAATCACTGTGGGCTTAGGCGGGGACAGGCAACCAGATGCCTAGAGCGATGCCTAGTGTGCATGCCCAGGGGCAGAAGCCCAGGTGCCTAAGGAACTATTTACTGCAGAAACATAGGTGCCAAGTAAGTTTCGGTACCTACAGAGTTCAGTGGGAGTTTTGTGAATCACAGTGGAGCCTAGAACTGGGACTTGGATGCCTAGACCCAGACTTAGGCACTGAAGTACTTTGTGAATTTAAGCCTTCCTGCCTGAAAGTAACATTATCCCCCATCTCATATGGGATTTAACTGAAACCACTGGTTAACGGCGACAGTGTGCCTTTCAGCACAGCTGCAAGCAGGGGGGACGGGCAGGGCATATAAGGTGCAATACCCCAGACTGAGCCTCTTTGGGCCTGCATCAACCCCTCAGAACTACAAGCCCTTCCCTGCGTCACACTTGCCTTGGCAGAGGATGGGATAGTAATTTTGCTTCAGGCCTATACCAACCATAAGTTCTGACACCCTGTTGGCCACCACATTGGAGTCCATCAGTGGGACACCAGCATGAGTAAGGCTAGCAAAATGGGCCCCACAATGAGTGAGCAGCAGATCCTGGGTTATAATCGGCTCCTGGGCCCACACTCAGACTGACTCTTTCCATTTCTGGATCAGTTTCCACTTCTTGCTTAGAAACACAAACAAGGTAGGGGGTTTTCTCCTTGCAGGGCTCTTCGCATCTCATTTGAACCCACAAAGACCCCCAGTTTCCCTTGCTTAAACTATCTCTATGCTCACCCTCAAACTCCCAAACTATTGCCACTATTCCTCCAGGCCAAGAGCACTGTACTCCCTTTTAAGCCTCTCACTGGGAACCTTAACAACTGGAAACCAAGTGTCTCACTGCCAAGTAATGTCCCAAGAGGAGCTCAACTTGCTGATAAATCTCACTGTTCTCCTCCCATTTCAGGCTGGATTGTGAAACACTGGCACCATGTTCAGGTCTCCCACATGATAGGGAGCACTATGACTAAGCCACTTGTTGGGCTCCAGAAAGTTTTTTCCAGTTAAACAGTGCCGTATGTTCTGTGACATTGGAAATAACGCAGCTATCTAAATAGTGCTCAATAAAGCAGACTATTACTGTTAACCAAACAAAGCATTTAAAAATAAATTAGAACACTAATTGCACTAAGTACCATGGTGGAATGTCTTCAATTTCTCTCTGCTTTTATGTGTAGATATGAATTATAAAAATATTTTACATGCATTCCCAGCCAAAAAAACCAATGTTAAGATGCAGCTGAGGTTGAGAATCTATATCTATAATTTAAGGATGAAGAACATTACATGCATGTGGTAATTATCCCAAAACCAAGCATTATGAACCTAGGAAATTCAGAATTAAAATTAAACCTAAAAGAAACCCAAATATATTCAGGTATGAAAATGGACAGTTAAGGCACCCAGACAATCTTTACTTTGCCCTGTAGTGACACCATGCAATAACCATACAAATAGAATTAATTCTTATTAGTGTTTGCGAACCCACCTTAAAGTAAACTGAGTTTCTGTCATATTTTTCCTCATAGTGTCACTCCGTTTCTAGGGGATTTTCTGCTTTGTTTTGTTTTACAAAAACAAAATTGTTCAACAACTGTGCTGGATAAGACAGAATAAGATGCCTTTTGCTAAAATAACTGTTAAGTAAAAAGAGCTTTAACCAAAAGATTCCTTCTTTTGGTGTTAACACTAAATAATGAAGAGAAGCATTACAAAAATAAATGGTTTGCTTATAAATGGAGCTTTGTTAACCTGTTTATTTTAACATGCATTGATATAATAGAGATTTTAATTTATGTGGAAGAAGAGGATGTTTCTAGATCAAAAGCTGCTGAAAGGGGTTTTACCTTGTCCAAATTTTCTTGAGGACGACTATGGCTGCAAATATGTTGTGCATATCATGAGCCATTAAACTGTGATAGCTTCTTTAACACAGTGCATTACATTTCATGCACTGACCTTCTGGGAAAAAATGGTGGCAATTTACATTCAGGATACCATGGTGTGATAACACATTCAGTGAGGTTTGTAATTTCTAGAAAAGAGGAAGGAGAACATCATATAGTCAACAGAATGAAACTGCATTTCTAAAACTCACATTATCTGTGCTGGGACTCAGGCTTTGTCTACACTACCAAGTTTTGTCAACTACACTTATATCGACATCCAAAAGTTGACTTAATAAAATCAGAAAAGCTTGTTCACACTAGCCCCCTCTGGCGACAGATGACATCCACACTGGGGGCCCCGTCATCGACAATGTGAGCAATGCACTGTGGGTACATATCCCACAGTGCAGGGCGACACCATCTGTCGCTAGGGGTTGTGGGAAGGCGGAGCGGGTCGTGACACATCTTGGGATCTGACTAAATGTCCCGTGTTGCATTGCTTTGTGTCCCAGAACTCCATGGGCTTCCAGCTTTCTTTCATGGCATTTTTACAACGGCCATTTTCTGCTGTGCACCCTGGCATCTTTGTGAGATGGGATGGATCCCGCACTGCTCTCCTATGCTCTGTTAAGTGTCATGAGGACATTGTGCATGGCAGTGCAGTTAATTGTGAAATTACTGACAGAAGAAGACTCACAGGCACCTGACATTCTGCATGATATGGATAGCAGCAACTTTACATTGCTTTTGGCATTCACAGAGCAGCTGCATAGGATAGACCGTCGCTTTTGTGTTAGAGAAACCAGCACTGAATGGCGGGATCTCATCATCGTGTAGGTGTGGAATGAAGAGCAGTGGCTACAGAACTTTTGGATGCGTAAAGCCACCTTCCTGGAACTGTGTACTGAGCTGGCCCCAGACCTGCGGTGCAAGGACACCAGAATGAGAGCTGCCCTCTCGATAGAGAAGCATGTGACAATCGCTGGGTGGAAGCTAGCAATTCCAGACTGCTACCAGCTGGTCGCGAATCAGTTTGGAGTGGGGAAGTCGACCATTAGGACTGCGTTAATGTAAACATGCATGGCAATAAATTGCATCCTGCTACAAAGGACTGTGACTATGGGAAATGTCTGTGAAATAGTGGGCGGCTTTTTTTCTGTGTCTACTTACGTGGGATTATTACTTGAAAAAACATCCCAGAGGCATTTTCCACCCCATCTCAGAACATTCTACCTAGCAGCTCCTGCCAATAAAGTGCTGCTCACATTGGCATTTGTCGCCGGCAAAACTTTTGTCTTCCGGGGATGGGGCAGGGCGAGAGTTAACACCTCTGAAAGACAAAAGTTTTGTCAATTCAATTGCCAGTGTAGACCTAGCCTTAGAGGCACGGCTGTAATGACACAAAAGCGGTGTAGTGTAGACATAGCCTAAAGCATGCAGTGTAGCCGCTCTTTGTCTCCTGCCAACAAAAAACTTCCACCCCCAACCAGCGGGGTTAGCTTTGTCAGCAGGAGAGTGCCATTGTCGTTCAATTGCCAGTGTAGACATAACCTGAGATAACTGCATTATCTCTGCACTTCACTGGGGGTTGATGGAGTCATAGATTTTTAAGAGCAGAAGAAACAATTAGGTCATCTAGTCTGACATTCTGCAATACATAGGCCATTGAATTTCACCCAGTTACCCCTGTATGTAGCCCAGTAACTTGTGTTTGACTAAAGCACGTCTTCTAGAAAGGCAGACAGTCTTGATCTGAAGACATCAAGAGATGGAGAATCCACCAACTCCCTTGGTAGTTTGTACCAATGTTTATTCACCTTCTCTGTTAAAAATTTGTGCCTAATGTCTAACTTGAATGTGTCCATCTTTAACTTCCAGTCACAGGTTCTTGTTATGCCTTTCTCTGCTAGATTAAAGAGCCTTTTATTACTTGCTATTGTGTCCCCATGAAAGTACTTCTACATCATGATCAAGTCCAATCTTTTTTTGATAACATAAACAGTTTGAACTTTTTAAGTCTCGCTATACAGCAGGGTTTTTTTCCAGCCCTCCAATAATTTTGGATGATTGAAGTTAATTTCAAATAACAGCAACTCAAGACAACAAACCTTGAACCTCATTAGCAAAACTGAAGCTGCATTCAGCCCTCTAGTTATTTTAAAATAAACCAGTTATGAAGGAGAAATACTGGAAATTAATTCCAACCATAACTGCATGAACATCATGAGAAAGATTCTTTATTAAATTTAAGACTGTAAAATTGATTTGTTTCACTCTGGTCAACGCAACCTTCATAATGCCTCAGAACACATGGTGGAGAGGAAATGAAGAGAATTCTGTTGCTGAATATGTGAAAAACAGGCCTTATTTACACAGAGGTCATATTGAAGTCATAGAGATGAGAATCAGTCTAGCTGCATGATTTTACCTGTTTTAGGGACCAGTGTGGAAAGGGCATGAATAACCTGCTAGCAGAAAATGTGCCACAAGCTTTGCACCCTTGTATATCTATAGCATAATTTCTGAATATAACTGCAATACCCTAACTGTGTTATGTGTTCATGCAAACCACTTTTGAAAAGAGATTGAAAGAAGGCTACGAGCCCTGATTTGGATAAGGCCTACGTGCTTGGTCTTATCAGTCTAAAGCATATGGGAAACATAATTCACCAGCCCTATTATGGAAAGTGCCATTCCATTAGTGCACAGAAACATGCATATATGCATAACATCAGATACAAAATTAAGATTCTATAACAGCACACGTTGCTTGTCATTGGCGTCCTCATTAGCCGACATCTGTGTTTACAACTGGCTTAGGCATCTAGAACTATCAGTAAAGAGCAAGTGGAAGAGAGCTTCACTACTATTAACATTTTGCTTTGGTTGCAGATGATCTCCTGAAAGACACCCCTTTCCCACTAAATGCCACTGGAGTCATGGATCCATTTCCCTTCCAAATCTGGCTAAATGATCATCATGGAGAAATAAATCAGAAGAAATCCTTGACCGTGTTTGGAGACAATTTTGAGACAGAGGTAGAAGCTTTTATTTTTTTCAAGAGACATGGGAAAATGTTCAAAGGCTCAAATGGCAGTCAGGTACCCAACTCCCATTGGCCATCACTGGGAATTAGGCAACCATTTCCATGTCTGTTTTGATAACCGCTCCCACATTTTTCTTACATAAAATTAATAAGTTGAAAAATGCTATTAAAATTGTTCATTATACCCCCTTCATTTCAGATAACGTTCTTGGCACCAAGGCCAACTTTGATTTGTTAATCGTGTGATTTCTCTCTTTAATCATAAAATAGGGGAGGATAGGGGACTGGTTGATCCAGGGGATCAGCAGTGGAAGAGCCTTTCATGTCTAGATCACCAGTTCAAAATCAGTCCCACATAAAAGTAAAGTTGTTAGCATCTGGTGGCTATTCAACATACACGGTCCTTTACAAAGCATGTAGAAAGTAACATGTCTTCCCTGGAGAACTTAGAATCACACTCAGAGATATGAGACAGTTCCAGTGACAGACGGCATGGAAATGCTGTCAGAGAGATCAATGCAGACAGCAGGAATAATAAGGCTTTGAAGGAGGAAAAGGAGGACACACAGAGCCTGATTTCCAGCCCTTTGAAGTCAATGGGAAAAATCCTATTGATTTCAACAGGCTTTGGATCATGCCCCATGGTGCAGGGAGAGAGGGTGTTTGTTCCAAGAGTAGGAGGTGGCAAGAATAAAGAAGCAAAGCTGAGAGAGGGAGGAGGCAAAAGAAACAGATAAGTGAGAATATGGAGGAGCATAAGGAGTGGCAGGTGTGATCAGTTCTCCTTTTATCAGTAGGTATCTTTAAGAGATTAGCAATGTAATGTGAATTCCAACAGTGTAGGTAAAATAATCTCGCATTCTAAAAACACTTCCCCTAAAAATAAAATGTTTTACATACTGTAGGAAGAGTCACATATACTTCAGTCTCTGGATAAAATCCACGACTTTTTCCCCATTTTATGATTTAGGCTGTAGTTTATGGACAAGGAGTAAGTGAAGGAAGCAAAACGAATGCCGATATCTGGATATGGCAGCTGGTAAGTGACATGCTTACGGACTAAGTCTGGGTTTGTATTTAGATCTGGAACAGATCACTCTGTGAGAAAACTTCCTAGCCATAGGCAAGAAAAAGAAATTTTGTATTCCTTCTCTAAGAAGACTCCCTAGCCCAGGAACCACCTGTGAGTCCATTTCAAACCATCAGTCATTCATCAGTGCTTGAAAAGTAACCCTTCTTCCTCCTCTCCCACGGAATGATCAGGGGTCACTACCATCCCTCACCACATCCTGGATGGGGTTAGATTCCTGCCAGCGTCCCTCCCCCAGATCCACGGAGGACATACCATGGACTGCAGGAATCTTTCCTCTGCTGTCCCTCCCCTGGCCCTACAGAGCACCTGACCTAGTTATACACACAGTCTGCTGACCTTCCCATGGAGGAATCAGGTAGGACTCTGAAGTAGATTTGCATGGTTGTGTAACAATTTGTCTACTTGAAAGTGAAATAGTAGAGGCACCTATTCTATGGCTCAGCAGCCCTTAAGAGCAGGGATCCTGGGACAGAAACTAACCTAAAGGATCACAAAAACAAAGCGGAGAAGATTTGCAGCCCAGCAGAAAAGAGAACAGAAGAAAAAGTTCCCATTTACACAGCAGGCTGCCAGACAGTCCCACTAGTTCCTATTCTGTTTAAATTCGCAGAGACTGACCATCAAATGCTAGTTTCAAACAAAAAAAAAAACCTCAAAGGGAACTTGTTTGTACTGCTGCTAAATGATACAGCAGGCAAGACCCTGTTAATGCTGGCAAGAATCTAACGTCTCAAAGTACTGCTGTCTGACAGGATAGTGATGAGTCCATTTCAGTTTCAATGGGGTCCTATCAGTAATTTTTGTCAGCTCTCCATTGACTTGTGAACTGCTTTTCAAATCTCAAAAGGGATTTGAGGAATCTAAAAAAGAAACTTGAAAAATACTCCAGGAGTCTAGCCCTGTGATTTTCAGGGAGGCATATTGATCAGTGGGCTGTTAGGTTAGCTGCAATGAATCAGCCATGGGGAACCTGAGGGACTATGAAGTGTGAAGCCTTGTTTTTATTGCTGCTAACTGTCAGGCAGGGAAGATCTGCTAAAGTTTTAACAAAGGCCACGTAGAACAGAGCCGTTTTCAAGCTTTATTTCTGTGGAAATGTTAGATTTTCCTGGTAGGCTTTACTTCTTACTAGTGGTTCCTTTTTCTTTCTGCCAGGGACAGCACACAAAGAATTAAAAGCCAACTACTTGTTCTTGTCTTTCAGGAAGGCACATCTGTTGTTACTATGGATGGTAAAACACTGAGTCTAGCTGCTGGTGACAGCCTGCTCATCCCTGCCCTGTCTAGGTGAGTGCAGAACAATGGTTCTATGCATGGTTTTGGCAACAAAAGTCCCAATTCCGTACTGGGATACACAGGAGACCAGTGAGCATGCCTATTTGAGCAAGGCAGCTGCACAAAACTTCTAGCAAATAGACTCATTCACTACATACTAGGGTATGTGTCAACTGGCACATCAGAATATAGCCCCAATGAATACGGTATCTGCATGGCAATATTACTCAAACAAAGGGGCATTGAGGAGGAAATGTGGTGGTGCTGACAGATCAGTCTAGAACCTCTCTTGAAGAGTCAGGGAGAGAAAATAGCTCTCACTAAAAGCATTGGAAAAACCAGGATACAGAAAAGACCATGTGTACAGGTAAAGTGGTGGGGAGCCAGAGCCCATATCCTTCAGAAGGTGACTTCCTGAGCATGATACCTGATCTAACTGGTGTATATGAACACCAACTATCTAGATGCCAGTTCAGGAACACAGCTTTCTCCCATGTGCATTATCCTCGTGAGGAAATGGGATCATGGCATGGCCATCCCTAAGTAGGCTGCTGACAGACAAGATGTTTGCAAAGGAGAGTTGGTGAGAAGTTTTCCAGTGGAGAATGGAAAATATTTTAGTTGGAAGAATGTCATTTTCCAGCCAACTCTTGTGAAAAGTGACACAGGCACCCCAGCAGAGAAAGCACCCATCCTCAAAAAATAAAGGATAATGCATGCACATTGGTAGGTACAGCTGGGTACAGGAAGATGATAGTGATGACGTTTTTTCTTTCCTATGGAGGAACACTAGCTCAAGAAAAATCTTTCTGATATTGGATCTACTATATTAACATCCTATAACACTAAAAACCTTGTCTGAAGACTTGAAACCATCTAACTGTGCACAGTACTATAAAGTCAGGCCACTTATCTAGTGAGCTTAGTCATCTTTTTAATACATTTTAAATAGGATTTAATACAGAATCATTGTGATAGATAACAGCAGAGTATACACACACAAAAATCATGTTCAATGTCGACAGTTAAGACAAAAATCTATAATTCTATTAACACACTGGCCACTTCCACCCAAAACACTATAAGAAGTTACATCTAAGTATTTCACTAAATACTCTGCCAGAGGGCCCCATGTCCCCTTTACCTTGTTTTATAACAAGTGCTACACCGAATATTGTTACCCTTTGGCATATGCCGTCTATTTGATTAAATATTTTCCCAGTAGTGTATGATCTTGTTCTATTGTCTTTATATTGTAACTTACAAAATATTTTAGTGCCATGCAGATTTTTTTAATAGTAACTATAAGTACTTAGATTTATAAAAATGTGAGGTATAAAAGTGTTAATAGATCCTCTATTTCATCTCTTTACAAACTCAGGATTGTTCTAGATTTGAAATCATTTTGATTTGACCCTATAACATGCTGTTTTCCATGACTGTTGTTGGCCTCATTTTATTTGTCTATTATAGCAGAGCAAAATCTAAAGTGACAGCTTTTAATTTTGTCCTGACAATACAGTGCTGTCTCCAAATTATTCTCTATAAACATGTGATTCTTACACTCACTCACTCACTCCTCCCTCTACTGTACCCTCCTACGGTTTTTGAACCCACCTGTCTTAAATTAGCCCCTAATCCTGCAATCTGATCAATGAGAGTGGGTCCATTTAGAATCCAATTGAAGTGAGTGGGATTAAGCCTGGTCGAAAAGGTCCACCCAGGCAGATCATATCGGATTGGGACCTTTAAATGTAATCTCTCTGGGGCAGGGGTTCTCCTACTATACATATGGACTGCATTTAGCACAACGGGGCCATGATCCTGACTGTGACCTCTGGTCAATACTGTAATAGACATTAAATAAGTAAGTATATGAGTAAGAGAGATGGCCCTAAACCACAATACCAACTGCAAACATTCCTGAACTTTTAGGTGTTTGAAATCCTGGTTCAGATGTTTGAAATCCTGGTTCAGATCTGGACTTTTTGAACTAAATTCAGTACTCAGTGGAGTTACTCTGCTGCTACCCCCATGTAACAAAGCAGAATGTAGTCCTTTCTCTACTTGAATATTTCATCTTGTTTAATTTGTGTCTGGCTTCCTAAACTCACTTCTGACCTCTCTTATATCAGTGTCTGTGAAGAGAAACTCCATTGAAGTTGATGGTATTATACCAGCATGAGACCAGTATAAGTGTGATCAGAACTAGACCCCATTATTTTCCCCTACATTACAAATACATTAATATTTACATTATATAATCTCTCTCTCTTCGTATTTTTGAAGGTACCACTGGAAGAGAGAGGAAGGATGCATTGCTCTTTACATTGCTCAAGACCCAATACACAAAAGACCCTATGCCTAATTTCTGGGAATGTAAACTAAACATTGGTGATCAAAAACTTTATCCCACATAGATCATTTTAAAGATGGTGCTGACAGGGCTACAGTAAACAACTGTAAACTGAATTACATGTCTAATAAAAAGGTTACAATTAAATTTTGGTTTCAAGCAATAGATCCAATTAAACGTAAAGCTTGCATACGATATACTGCACGATAAACTGACAACTATGAGCTATTTGGTTAAAACGCAGAACACTCATTATTCCAAAAGAAATGTGAAACTGATTTAAGTAATGCAGCCAAATATACAGATTTATATACTTGATCTTGAAAGCTGAAGCTAGACAAATTCATCCTGGATATAAGGTGTACATTGTTAACAGTGAGAGTAATGAACCACTGGAACATGTACCCAGGGTTGTGATGGATTCTTCATCACTGGCAATTTTTAAATTAAGACTGGACGTTTTTCTAAAAGATTCGTGCTAGGAATTATCTGGGGGAAGTTCTATGGCCTGTGTTATACAGGAGCTCAGACTAGATCACAGTGGTCCCTTCTGGCCTTGGAACCTATGAATCTGTGAATCCCAATTACAGCAAATAAAAGACCTTTCCAAATAGGAGTCTCTTCTAGTAATTGAAGGACTTCAGTGGGACGACTCATGTGAGTAATGGTTCCCCACTGGGACCCATAGGTGTGGCCCAATGTGACTACATTAAAGGATTTAGAGCGAGACCATACCTTTAAGTTACATTCATTTTGTGAGCTCAGGGGTGCACGTGTGAGATATGCAGCTGTCACATACACAGTCCTGTACAGACAACTGCAGTGGGGTGGAAATGGGGCCATCACCCAGTCCCTACTTGCCATTTTGCAGCATAAGAAGGGGCTGGTCCTTGTACTCCCCTAACACCCCTTCAGAGACTACAGTTGTAGCTGACCCTCAGTGTTTATGTTTTCAAATAAATTAAAAGAGATCAAAAAGATAACAGTACAGCTTGACCTGAGCCTATGAAAATCTGGTAGGGAACATATCATGCATATCACGTAATACTTCATACAACATACAGTATTGTATGTATATCAACTGATATTGTGGCAATATGACTCTAAAGCACACAGATAGGTCTGGTTGTAGTTCTCCAAATGCCAAAACCTCATTTTAAGGTGACCAGCTATTCCTTCGAAAACCTGAAAGGGATACCCCCTGCTAGTCCCCACTTGATTTTTACTTTGGAAATATCTGGCATGACAAGTGGTTTTCACTGGTTTCCTCTGGGGTCTCAAAGATTTTACATGGGCCTGCATATTGGATCCTTTTACTACTGAAACATTGAAAAACAAGTTAGTTAGAAAGGTGGTGTTACAAAATCTTAACATTTGTATGTTTGTGAAAGTCTAAAATTACTGTAGCTTGAATATTTCCAATTATACTAATAATGTAAATTAAAAACAGACTGTTCCTGCCTATAGATTTTCAGTATTTCTGCCTACCACCTACAGGGCTTATTAAACTGAGCTGTCATATCTCTTTTATGCTATTATTCATTCCTTTGGGGAGAAGATGTCAGATGGAATGACTTTAATCCTTAACTCTTATGGAATGCTTACTCTGGAAGCTTTTCCATTGGAGAGTACAACAGAACTTAATTCCCACTCACAACTGTGAGACCCATTGTGAATAACTGAATTTGGCTAATTAGGGTCCAGTCCTGCTGTGCTTGCACATGTGAGTAACTTTAACCATATGAATAATTCCCATTAAATTCACAGGAACTACTCATGTGACTAAAGTTATTCACATGGTTAAGCGGCACTATCTCCTCAGTGAGTAAGGGACACTCCTGCTCCTACTGAGGTCAATGGGAGTTTTGGCACCATCTTCAAGCAGGACTAGGATTAGGGTCTGACCCATAAGGTGTTGAGTATTGAAGTCAGCAGGGGCAGAGGGTGCTCATCACCTGGCAGGATCAGGGCTTGAGTGGTCAAACAACAAGAAAAAGAAAGATAATCAATAATGTATGCTTGAGCCTGCTCAAGCCTGGGAGAAAGATTAAACCCTGTATGTACCTTCTTAGATATTGTAATGTTTTAAATTGTTTTCATTATAGTATTTAGAAATAACTTCCTTATATACTTTTGTCTTCTTTTATAACAACAATGGAGCCAGATCCTCCACTGATGCAAATTAGCATAACTTCATTGAAGTCTGTGGAGTTATGCCATTTATACCATTTGTCCAATTAAGTCGTAATTATATAAGTGCTCATGGCATCACTGTGGTACTAAACATGTTAAAATGTGGGGACAATTAGAAAGAGTGCTGATTGGCAAGATTCTGCTGAACGTCGGCATCTGATCATAACAAACAGCCTGGTCCCACTAAGCAACCACTGCGATAAAAAGGAGTAATCCCCAGCACAATAAGGAAGTCACAAGTACTCACCAATGTTTTCCAGTCTATTGGAACAGGCATAGCGAGAAAATTTTCAGTGGGAGAAGCATATGTTTGGCCCAGTGAAATTAAAGTGCAGTACAGTTTTAACCAATAAAAAGAAATCATTCTCTATGCAACATGTAGAATTCACTGATAAATAGTGGAGCCTGATTTTAAAAAACACTGGATAATTTTATCATTAAGAACATTTTTACTTGAGCTATGACTGGTTTAAGAGTAACCAAACCTCATGTTTCAGTGCATAAACTGATCGCTTGTAAAGGATCAGGAAGGAATTCCTCCTCCTTGAACAACAATACAAGCAAGGGTGAATTTTACTGCTTCCTCTGAAGCAGGGGTAGTCAATAGGCGGACCTTGGGCCAAATCTGGACTGCCAGATGCCTTTGAATGGGCCCCAAAACCTTTTTATTTACTACTTATTATCATCATTTTTTTAATTTTCTTCTCTGGAGTCTGGACCTTGACTATACCTTGACCAAGAAATTTGGACCTTGACAAAAAATAATTGACTATCCCTGAATAGTTCTGAAGTGTCAGGTTCCAGGCCCTACCAGAAGTAGGATATCAGACCAGTCAGCTCAGTGTTCAGAAAATCTGCCCTGTAGCAGAACCTTTGTCCTCCTACACACTAAGAGTGGTAAGTTTACTCACACGTGGTAAATAGATCTTACTCTGAGGTTATGTCTACACTAGAGAGCTTATAGCAGCACAGCTGTACCGATGCAGCTGCACAGCTGTAAGATCTCTCGTGTAGCCGCTCTATGCCAACGGGTGAGAGCTCTCCCATTGACATAACTAAACCACCCCCAATGAGTGGCGGCAGATATGTTGGCAGAAGAAGCCTGTCAGAAGACATAGCGCTGTCCACACTGGTGCTTATGTCGGTGTAACTTATGTTGCTTGGGGTGGTATTTTTTCACACCGCTGAGCGACATAAGTTATACTGGCATAAGTGGGAGAGTAGACATGGCCTAAATGTTGCACAGTGGAAGAAGTAGCCTCCCATTTTATAGTTTAAAATGCTCATTGTACAGTGCTTTCAGCTCCCCACCACCCACACTCACTTTATGGAACAGATGCATAGAAAACAAACTTCACATTCACATAAAGAGAGAGATAAATTGAGTTATCTATGCATTTTAAGAGGTTCCTACAAAATGTCATGTGTTCATAAAAGCTTATACTTCCTACATGGATTTTTCAGGGTTTTTTGTGGCTACCAACCTAGACTCCATTTGAAGGAACAAATTCAAATTAGTTCCAGTTGTTAAGATTGTCAGTCATGGTTTATTTCTAACTGAAGACACAAATAGTGATGGAACTATTCCTTAACAGCACAACCTTCAAAATAAGAGCTGGTCGGACTCGAAGTAAAACAGAGCTGATGCATAAGATGAATTGACTTAAAATGAGTAACTAAAGGGCGAATTAAATTTCATACTGTATATTAGAAACAAAGGCAGGGCTGCAAAGACAGGGTGCAAACAAGCTAGCTAGTGGAAGTACAAACTGAGCTAGCCAATCAAAGACATTCAGCAAGTCTGAAGGGACAATCCAAAACCCACAGAAGTCAACAGCAGGGCTCCCACTGATTTTGTTGAGTTTTTGATGGAGACCTGACTCAGCAAAGTTAGAAAAAGGAAATAGGTTAGAAAAGGATTCAACATGTTGTGCTTGAGCCTGCTAGGTGCTAAGCACCCTCAACTTCCATTGTCATCCATGTGAGTTGAGGACATGTAGCACTTCACGGAATGCTCAGCACCTTTGCAGGATCAAGCACTGAAATAACAAAGTAAGTCAATGCACTGTTGATCTCATATCCTTCCTCAGAGCTCCCTAGTTCTGGGTTTATTATCTCTAGAAGGAGGCCTGTGAGAGTTTGTCTTTTGACTTGGTATTGGTCAACATTAACTACAATCCCATGACCTTTAATAGTCTTAGTTTCTGCATTTAAACTTAGTCATTTGGGTAAAAAACCATACTTCAAAATGCTACCTATACCGTGAAGAAAAAAACCAGAAGCCATGTAATCTATATTCAATAATAAGCTATATCAAATAGCATATCACACAAACTGATTTCAAAAGTGTGAACTTGAAGGGTTTGATGTTCTCTTTGTTTTCTAACAGTTAGTCAAAAGTGCATGTACCTGACCATTGAGGCAACTTGTGGGTGGGGCACAAAGTAGCAGGGTAGGATTTTTGGTATGGTTTTACTGGTTTGGGGAAGCAGTGTTGTACTTTGGTTACAGCAAAAGGCTGAGAGTCAGGACTCAGGAGATCTTGGTTCTGTTCCCCACTCTGTGACCAACTGAACGGGTAGCCCTGATTTTGCAAGTGCAGGTACTCCACCCATACTGCGGTGGACCCTGGTGCATTTCTGAATAAAATTCTGTCCACCATGCAGTGTGACCCCAAATGTATAGTGCATGTGAGGTCAAAAGTCTGGGAGCACCAGTCCCCCATGTTTCTGCCCCTGCTTACAGAAAGATGATATTAATGTAAAGTATTACCACCATTACTCAGAAACAGCTAGAACCTGGCTTGGAGTTGCAATTAAAAATTTGAGAATATCCTTAGTATATCAGAGTAGTACAGAATGATTGTAATTGTATAGTTCTCATCAAGAGCAATAATGCATTCATTCAGAAGATATCTTAGTTTGATTGCTGGATTGGAAAAATAATTTAAAAGACAGAAAGCCTACTGTGTAAAATATAAAGCTTGTAACAGATAAAGCCTGTGCGTTTCACTTCCAGTAGATACACTTCCACTTGTACACTACTTGTACTTTAGGTTTTATAGTTTGGGGACAGATCTGAAGCATCCAGTAATGCCAGACTTAATTTAAAACTTGGCAGATGTTAATGTAAAGCTTGAAGATTCAATTTATAATTTCAAGAGGTTAAGAGGGGGAAAAAAACACCAAAAAAACAACTGAAGCCATTTATAGTTAATAGACCTGGCACTGTTTTTACTAAGAATTCCAAAGACAGCAGTGCATTGAAAAATTGAACTGGTGATGTAGGAAATATGTTTTGATCAGGAAATGCAGACTCAATAAAGGCTGCTTTACAGATGGCAGTTGACTCCAGTTAAGATCCATCATATTTTTGATACTAGGGAGATGCTCTATTGGAGGCTCTGAGGGGAAAGGGGAACATACTTGCACATGTGGTAGTTGTGTTCAGGAATTAGATGGTTTTGGGCGGAAAATATTAAAGAGATTCATTTGATAACAAAATGTCAGCTTCCTAGAGATGCCCAGCCTGCTTACTTAATGCTCCAGTAAAGGATCAGCATTTTAAACAGAATGAGAAATTAATTCCTTTCTTAGTGTTAGCAGCTTAGCTATGTATTGCACATTGGTGGAAAAATTGGACCCCCTTCTCCTACAGAATTGTGACAGAATAAAATACAGACTGTTCTTGTAAGGGAACAGCTTCCATACCAACCTTCCATGTCAAGTACGTACACAAGAGAAATGCCGAAAAGAGCACAGGTATTTAGAAATTTGGTCACTCTTTCTAAAGTACTCAAAGGAGGATAGCTCACTAGCCAGCAAATCAGAATTTTTAGCCATATTCTTTGACTGTTAACTTGATTCTGAACAAGTAATGTAAGATGTAACTTTGCCATAATAAAAAGTTAAGAACACAAAAGAAACAATAGAATGGATACATTTCATTAGATGCAGAGGTTCCATCAATTATAATAGTGCCATCGGTATCTGTGTCTTGGCACACAATACACAGTGGAGGTAATCAAAACACAGTCCTGCTTTGGACTGTAGGACCACTGATAGTCTACCTCTTGGTCTGGCAGTACGTTTACCACAGGATGACTACACTTGTTGTGACCTTTCCTGTACTGAAGAAGAAAGTCCAAACAGGAAAAACCCAGTGGGCAATTATTGGGTGAACACCACTATTTTAACATCAGGGTGAGTATCTGAACTGAGTTTTCAGAGTTCAATCGCCCTCCCCCAGGTCATTCTTACCATTCAGTCTGGGAAGGAGTTGGTGAGTGTTAAATGAAATAGAATGTGTCTAAAATAAAAGCTTCATAAACAAAGGTTTGAACTGAATCCAAGCCCTAGGTGTTGGCTTACTCCCAAAGCTATGAAGCTGAACTACATCATTCAAAACAAATAGCTTCGAAGTGTGAATACACCTGTTTGATTAAACAGTTTGTGTGCTCATTTCAGTGCTGCTGGCTGTACTGACCTTGTCTTTCAACAATGCATCTCTGGGCTAGAAAGGAGGAGAGCTTGCTAGCAGTTGGAGCCGTAGGAAAGGGTCCTGCACTTAGGACAGAAGAACCCAATGCACCGCTACAGACTAGGGACCGAATGGCTAGGCAGCAGTTCTGCGGAAAAGGACGTAGGGGTGACAGTGGACGAGAAGCTGGATATGAGTCAGCAGTGTGCCCTTGTTGCCAAGAAGGCCAATGGCATTTTGGGATGTATAAGTAGGTGCATAGCGAGCAGATCGAGGGACGTGATCGTTCCCCTCTATTCGACATTGGTGAGGCCTCATCTGGAGTACTGTGTCCAGTTTTGGGCCCCACACTACAAGAAGGATGTGGATAAATTGGAGAGAGTCCAGCGAAGGGCAACAAAAATGATTAGGGGTCTAGAACACATGACTTATGAGGAGAGGCTGAGGGAGCTGGGATTGTTTAGCCTGCAGAAGAGAAGAATGAGGGCGGATTTGATAGCTGCTTTCAACTACCTGAAAGGGGGTTCCAAAGAGGATGGCTCTAGACTGTTCTCAGTGGTAGCAGATGACAGAACGAGGAGTAATGGTCTCAAGTTGCAGTGGGGGAGGTTTAGATTGGATATTAGGAAAAACTTTTTCACTAAGAGGGTGGTGAAACACTGGAATGCGTTACCTAGGGAGGTGGTAGAATCTCCTTCCTTAGAGGTTTTTAAGGTCAGGCTTGACAAAGCCCTGGCTGGGATGATTTAACTGGGGATTGGTCCTGCTTCGAGCAGGGGGGTTGGACTAGATGACCTTCAGGGGTCCCTTCCAACCCTGATATTCTATGATTCTATGATTCTATGAAAGAGAAAATGAGCAGAGATTTCAGTTATCACTTGCAGCCATGAACCAGCATGGACCTACAACAGCAAACTGAAGGTGTGACACAGGGAGATACATGCTAGAGGTGATGATAAATTAAAACACTGTGCTATTCACAAAGGACCTGATCCAAAATCCACTGCCATTGACATCATTGTTTTGAATCAGGCCAATAAGAGGAAACAACAAGAGAACTGATCCTTTTCCCTCTTTTGCAAAGAGAATCAAAGCCACGGTCATCGAAAGACAGAAATGTAGGGCTGGAAAAAAACACAAGAGTTCATCTTTTCCACAGCCCTGCGCAGAGGCAGAACCAAATAAACCTAGACCATTCCTGACAGGTGACTGGAGATTTTAAAGAATGGGTTAGACAATGATGGGGATTCCACAACTTCCCTTGGAAGCCTATTCCATAGCTTAACTAACTTTATAGTTAGAAAGAATTTATTAATACCTATCTTAAATCTCCCTTGCTGCAAATTAAGCTGATTACTTCTTATCCTTCTTTCAGTGGGTATGGAGAACAATTGATCACTGTCCTCTTTATAACAGCCCTTGATGTTATATCCCTTGATCCCCCGCCCCCTTCTCCCCTAGACATCTTTTCTCGAGGTTAAACACGCCCAGTTCTTTTAACCTTTCCTCACAGGTCAGGTTTTCTAAACTTTTTGTTGTTTTTGTTGCTCTCCTCTGGACTCCCTCCAATTTTTCCACATCCTTCTTCAACTGCGGCACCCAGAACTGGACACAGTACTGAGGCCTCACTAGTGCAGAGTAGAGTGGGACAATTACCTCCCATGCTTTACATATAATACCCTTATTGATAAACCCCAGAATTATATTTAGGTAACTGCATTACATTGGTGATTCATTCAATTTATGATCCACACTATCCCCCAGATCCTTTTCAACAGTACTACCACCTACCCAGTTATTCCCGTTTTGTATCAGTGCATGTGATTTTTGATTCCTAAGTGTAGTGCTTTGCACTTGTCTTTATTGAAAGTCCTCTTGTTGATTTCAGACCAGTTCTCCAGTTTGTCAGGATAGTTTTGAATTCTAGTCCTGTCCTCCAAAGTGCTGGCAAACCTCCCAACTCGGTGTGATCCACAGGTTTCATAAGCATACTCTCCACCCCACTATCCAAAGTCATTCTTGAAAACACTGACCAGCACCAGGCCCAGGACAGATATATCCTCCCAGTTTGTCAGTGAACAATTGATCTCCCTCTGAGTATGGTCTTTCAGTCGTTTATGCACCCACCTTATAGTAATTTCATTTAGAGTCTAGACCACATTTCCCTAATTTGCTTATGAGACTGAGTCTCTTTCAGGTATCAGAGTAGCGGCCATATTAGTCTGTATTCGCAAAAAGAAAAGGAGTACTTGTGGCACCTTAGAGACTAACCAATTTATTTGAGCATAAGCTTTCGTGAGCTTATGCTCAAATAAATTTGTTCGTCTCTAAGGTGCCACAAGTACTCCTTTTCTTCTTTCAGGTATGCTTCCAGTTTAGAGGGCATAGGTCATCTATTCAGTGACCAGAAACAAACACATATGATTTGGTGAAAAATTTGAAATGACAAAATAAAAACAAGCCCAGACATTTTGCAGAAAACCCATGAAGATTCCTATTGTTCATTTTTTACTGTTCAGCAAACATTTTCAAATACTAAATACATTTGGTAACATTTGTATTGATTTTCAAAGGGGACACAACCAAAAATTGATCAGAATTCAATATACTGTTTGCTGAATACTATTGGACCAGCTTTACTGTTAAATCAAGACAATAAAATTACAGCTCTGGACTTCACATTCCTTTACTCCATCAATTTGAGATCAAAGGATGGAGAGGTGTGAGGTGGGGGGATAAGTGTTGGCTGCTGGTGACAGATGATTTATAAACCGAGTAGTAAACCCTACTAATAATAAACCCTACTCTTTTAACAACACTAAGCATCACTGCAAATGTTTAGCAAGGTGCGTTCGTCCCTGAAGAGCGTACAAGTCTCCATCAGCGGTCTGTCTCAGATGGACTCACTGAACAGAGTTCCGGGTATGAAGCAGGGGCTCTGCAGACCAAAGGATCCAGTCTAAGGAGGCGGTGAAGCCATGTGGCTTACCCTGGAGGAAGCGTGAGACCCCTTGAGGGTCTGGCACACTGAAAAGGTTCCTCCCAGAGACTGCTCCAAAGATAGGGCCATAGCTCTGATCCCTTGGATCTGTGGCAATCCTTTACCCCGCTTTCCTGTTTGGGTGCCACAGTGTGTGCCATACTTTGTATTACAGAGTATATATGACAGGTTTCAGAGGAACAGCCGTGTTAGTCCGTATTCGCAAAAGGAAAGGAGTACTTGTGGCACCTTAGAGACTAACCAATTTATTTGAGCATGAGTTTCGTGACTACAGCTCACTTCATCAGATGTTTACCGTGGAAACGCAGCAGACTTTATATACACACAGAGAATATGAAACAATACCTCCTCCCACCCCACTGTCCTGCTGGTAATAGCTTATCTAAAGTGATCAACAGGTGGGCCATTTCCAGCACAAATCCAGGTTTTCTCACCCTCCACCCCCCACACAAATTCACTCTCCTGCTGGTGCTAGCCCATCCAAAGTGACAACTCTTTGCATAATCAAGTCGGGCTATTTCCTGCATAGATCAAGGTTTTCTCACATCCCCCCACCCCCATACACACACAAACTCACTCTCCTGCTGGTAATAGCTCATCTAAACTGACCACTCTCCAAGTTTAAATCCAAGTTAAACCAGAACATCGGGGGGGGGGGGGGGTAGGAAAAAACAAGAAGAAACAGGCTACCTTGCATAATGACTTAGCCACTCCCAGTCTCTATTTAAGCCTAAATTAATAGTATCCAATTTGCAAATGAATTCCAATTCAGCAGTTTCTCGCTGGAGTCTGGATTTGAAGTTTTTTTGTTTTAAGATAGCGACCTTCATGTCTGTGATTGCGTGACCAGAGAGATTGAAGTGTTCTCCGACTGGTTTATGAATGTTATAATTCTTGACATCTGATTTGTGTCCATTTATTCTTTTACGTAGAGACGTCCAGTTTGACCAATGTACATGGCAGAGGGGCATTGCTGGCACATGATGGCATATATCACATTGGTGGATGTGAGGTGAACGAGCCTCTGATAGTGTGGCTGATGTTATTAGGCCCTGTGATGGTGTCCCCTGAATAGATATGTGGGCACAATTGGCAACGGGCTTTGTTGCAAGGATAAGTTCCTGGGTTAGTGGTTCTGTTGTGTGGTATGTGGTTGTTGCTGAGTATTTGCTTCAGGTTGCGGGGCTGTCTGTAGGCAAGGACTGGCCTGTCTCCCAAGACTTGTGAGAGTGTTGGGTCATCCTTTAGGATAGGTTGTAGATCCTTAATAATGCGTTGGAGGGGTTTTAGTTGGGGGCTGAAGGTGACCGCTAGTGGCGTTCTGTTATTTTCTTTGTTAGGCCTGTCCTGTAGTAGGTAACTTCTGGGAACTCTTCTGGCTCTATCA